ATTTAAGAAAAACACTGGAATGGGAAAAAAGCAGAAATGTCTTTAAAACTGCAAAAATTAATTTCAACCTAGAATTCTATATTTTATTAAATAGGAGGCATTCCAGAAAAGCATCATTTCTAAAAAAATGTCTGCCCATGGGTCTTTTCCCAGGAAAAAGAGCTCCAGTACACAGGGGTATATAACAAGACAGAGGAAAACATACAGCCAGGGACAGAGCCTTTCCACCAGTGTCCCATGTAACACACTGAAGAGTTTTAAAAACATGATATACCTGACTATTTAGACAAGGGCACTTCTTTCCTTAGACTGTCAAGTTAAAAAAATGACAACAGCCAACACAATAGACATTCCATGTGAGTGAATCAAAATTATACCTATTTTATTATGTGTCAGATTAGCCAAATATATCTCTTTGGTGTGCTGCAAAATTTTAGTAATTAGTTTATGTCTGCCATGAGATGAAAAACATTGAAAATCACTGATCTAAGACAGAGAGGATCCAACACAAGACAGCAGTTATGCCCTGGCCGGTTTGGCTCAGCGGTTGGAGCGTCAGCCTGCGGTACAGAGAGACCCGGGTTCAGTTCCCGCTAAGGACACGTACCTCGGTTGCAGTTTGTCCCCGGCCCTGGTTGGTTGTGCGGGTGGCAGCCACTCGATGTGTCCCTTCACGTCGATGTTTCTCTCTCTCTCTCCCTCCCGCTCTATCTTAACAAAAAATGAAAAAATGTCCTCGGGTGAGGATTTAAAAAAAAAAAAAAGACAGCAATTATGTGAGACACAGATGACTTTAAAGAAATATGCCCAAAAAGCAGGAGCAGAGGGGGCCTAGGGAACCCAGTCTGTGCTAGAATAGGATAACACAGGCTGGGGAGATTGCTTCCAATGGAAATGGAACAAATGTGTTTAGTAAATGAAAAATATGTTTGACAGGCTTGTCACAAATGCTACAGCATTTTCAGAAAAAAAAGTAGCTTTTAGAAAACAAGAAGTGAATATAGTCCAAAAATGTATTACACACACACAAAAATTGAAGACTTAGTACAAAAATGTTATTTTTGAAGCAGGGAGACCAGCTTCTCCCTGCATTGGGCTCTGAATTCATGTTGACCAGGCAGAAGGGGTTTGGAGTGTCCTGGGGAGGAGGAGAGGTGCTCAGATTTCAGTCATATTAGAGAAGAAGAATGAAGGGTGTACAGGAGAGAGGCACAGCCAGAGAACCCTACGGCTCAGCAGTAGAACTACTTACACAGCCACAATCATGTGAACAGTGATTCTGATTCAATAATAACCATGTCACACATTGAGGGAGAGGGTGGAAATAAGGCCACATGGAGAGAACGCTAAGTTTCAGCTGCTAGGACAGTAAGTCCACAGATAGTGCTAACAACTGAGTGAGCTAGGACACTGTTGTTCACTTTGTTAAACAACAAGATTAATAACTAGAGATAAAAAATAAAAACAGATCTTTATACCACAATCATGTTATTAAAATTTAACTTTAAGGTCAGACCCCTTCAAAATTGGGCATTTGTAAGCAGAAATCTTTCCTGAATATATAAATTTGATCATTAAAGTAACAAGAGAGATTTATAATATCTATAAAAAGGTCCATGCTAATGATATTGGGACCAATATATATATTTTTAAATCATGGGAAATTATTTCTCATTCAAATTATTAATTTCTTACTTAACTTTACAAGTGTTTACTTACATGGTATGAATTGTTCTTCATATTCTTTCCTCTCACTAAGGATAAAAAAAATAAACATCAATTCTAATACAAGTGATACAAAAAACCAATGCTACTGATTACTTGAAAGATTACCAATATACAAGACAAAATTTCATTTCATTTTTTATATAATTTTTAATAAAATTTATAACTTAAATCACCTGGCAAGTTGAGTTCCATAAAGAAACATCTTAAAACTAAGTTTTACTTTTTAACCTAACAGATGCTCTCTATCAGGTACACATGAAAGTCTCTCCATGTAAAGAAGTAAAAGGCAAAGCAAACCAAGCCAGTTGAGAAACACAGCTAATACAAAGTTTACCTGTTGTGCATCTGAACCACTACTCAGTCATAGTTTCTGATTCTACATTTACACCCACTCCTCCTGAATCACCAGGATTAACAGTTGACAGCCCAAGAGCCTGTTTCTGGCCAGGGATCTGGAAATATCCTGAACCCCCTACTGGCAATCAATTAGAATGTCCTACTGAAAAAATAAATGGGTCTTTACTCAACTGCAAAGTCTTCTATTTTAATTTTAATTTAAAATAAGTGTGGCTAACCTAACTAAACAAATGTACAACACAAAATCATTTTGCTCTAACAGAGATCAGAAGAAACACAGATGCTCCAAGAAGGGTCTTGGGCTGTCTTCTTCAATGAGGACAGGTATCATGGGCACACACTCCTCAGGACTAAAGAGAGGCTGTGGGAGAGCGTCTCCTGTACTGTCTCCACTGTCTCTACATGTGAGCAGCCCGTGGCTGTGGGAGACACTGGAGATACAGCAATCCTGACCAAAAATGATCAGCTCCAGACAGTCAAATACACACATACCATGAAAACACATGTTAAAACTCTCATTTTTTACTGTGCTGCATTACTTCAAAGATAATGGAACCTTTTCCTTTGGTACTTCTGCTGTCATAGCAACTGAAAACTTGACCACATGTGCTTTGCTAAGCAAGTAAACTCCATGTACCATTACATGAAAGACACTAAGCAGGCAAGCACAGTGTAGAAACCTACACTTCTGACCCTTGTCTTAAAACAAACAGGACCCAGGAAGTGGACACCAGTGTCATGTGCTGATGTGAAGCTTCTGGGAACCCTGCAGGCTTGGTGGTCTCATGCACCCTGGCAGCATTGTTAGGGTGAGAGAGTCTTCAACAGCTTAAAAGTTCTGGATGTAAGATTGGATCACTTTGTTGAGCACAATGTAACATAAAGCCCAAATCACAAATTTAATTCTCATATATAAACAACTGATTATTTTTATTTGTTCAAATAAAAACCTAACTGTAACCAAAATCCTATCTGACTTACCATCCTTTTGAAATTTCTTTAGAAAAATGGTGCTAGCGCTTGGATGGTCTGAGGGGATTTGTTCTAAATCCATCTCTGTGTAGGAAGAAAAGAAAAATGCATAATAATTTAGTTAAGCAGAAAAATACACTTCTTCAGGACTGGAATAAGGGAAATGGGACTTTGGAAACCCAGAGATGTAATTCCACAAAAATTAAAATCACTCATCCTCCCATGCCACAGTCTCAGAAAATTTTTTTTCTCAAGAGAGTGTAAGGACACTATCCCAGCACTCAGTGGGAAAAGGGATACCTCACTTCCACTGATAACAAATCTAGTAATGAATAATGTCTAACAAATCATTTTACAAATGTATTTACCTAGAATCCTTTTGTCCTTCCAAATAATACAGCTAGAATCTTGCACAAACATAATATAGGACTTCCTGGTTGATAGACACCTGAGCAATCCACTTTGATAGTTTTGCCAACACTAGAAATTTAAATCACTAAACCAGTTGCCTTGTTCTTTAAGAAAATGCCTTCACTAAATTTCAAGTTTATTAAATTATTTTTGTAGAAACTATTCTATTCAAAATTTTAATGTAAAAACCCCACACTATTAAAGATTTTTTCTGCATATTTGAAAAATGAGAAAATATTAGTTATTTGGAAAAATAAATTAATTGAGTTGTGCACAAAGTGAGAGACACAGACTATCACAGCAGCCTGTAACCTCAGGCTTCTGAAGAATTCAAGACTACTTCCTACAAAAAATAAAGCAAAGATATGACATCTGAATTAAAAAAAAATAAGAACAAAAGAATGCAGAAGCCATATTATGTAACAGTCAGTGCCTAGGGCATAATAAAGTTTGATTAAATTTTCAATGGGAAGCCCAGAAAAGTATGTACTTGAATCAAAGAAGAAGCAGGCTTATGCCTCCCCCCCCCCACCCCCAACACACACACACACACACCAAACCAAGACTGATACTATGGCTCTAAATAGAAAAATCAAGAAGGCTGGAATAAAGAAATGACAACATGCAGAAAAAAAGCAAAATTAGGTCAAGTAGCAAACAAACAGAAACTCCCCTTCCCTACACCTAGGTTCTAGGGCAGACACGTGCCCCAGGACTGGCCAATCAATCACAGCTGGCCTGGGACCACCCAGGAAACAGAAGGGAAAGGCAGAGCTGACTCTAGGACCCTTAGAGAGTCTGCAGCTGTGGACTCTCCCTTTGCCAGCAGGAGGAGAAGCCTTTCCAGGAGAGAGCAACAGGAGAGCAGAACTGAGACAGGTTCTGAGATGATCACTGAATTCCTGAATCAAAGAGTACCTTAAGCCCTGGCTGGTTTGGCTCAGTGGTTAGAGAATCAGCGTGCGGACCGGAGAGTCCCAGGTTTGGTTCCTGGTAAGGGCACGTACCTCAGTTGCAGTTTGTCCCTGCCTCAGTTGGGGTCTTGTGGGTGGCAGCCAGTCAATGTTTCTCTCTCTCTCTTCCCCCCTCTCTCCCTTCTGCTCTATCTAAAAATAAGTGCAAAAATGTCCTAGAGTGAGGATAAAGGGGAAAAAAAAGGAGCACCTTGATGTTTACTCTGTGAACTTCAGTTATACAAGTCAATACATTTCTTTAAAAGATTTTTAAGCTATTTCCTGGCTGGTTTGTCTCAGCACTTAGAGCATCAGCCCTTGGACCAAAGAGTTGAGGTTCAATTCTGGTCAAGGGCACTTACCTCTGTTGCTGTTTGGTTCCCGGCCCTAGGCAGGGTCGTGTGGAAGGTGGGCAGTTGATGTGTCTCTTTCACATCAATTATTCTCTCTCTCTCCCTCCCACTCTAACCAAAAATAAATGGAAAAATATCCTCAGGTAAGGATTTTTTAAAAAGACATTAAGCTATTTTGAGATTGATTTATTTTAACTTTCAGCATATTTCCTATTTAATGGATACATAATCACCTATCATGTATTATTCCTATACTTAGCTTCCTATTGTGTTTTAAATACTTACAAAGTTCTATTAATATCATACTGTCAAATTCTTCATGTATATAACAATTTTTAAAATCTCCTTAGAAAACTCTTTAAAATAAAATGACTAGACAAAAGGTTAGATTATTTTAATGGCTCAATATATAAAAGTAAGTTGTTTTATAAAACAGATGAGGGCATATTAGTGTATAATGCTACCAAGCATAGCAGTTTTAAATTCTACCTCAGTTTTGAATACTTAAAAAAAAATCCTAGTCATGTGAATGAGGAACCGCACAGTGTCTCTAATTTGCATTTCTTTGATTACATAGTGGGACCACAGTTAACAGTGTTATTTGCACCTTGGTGAACTGCCCAGCATTTGTATGTACTGTAGGATCTGTACCCACTAGGGCCCTAATGTTGTCAACTTGCAAGTGGCTCCCACACAATATTTCCTATTTATAGTCCTGATTGATGTGGCTCATTTGGCTGGGTATCTTCTCAGGCACCCAGGCAGGACACATGCCCAGGCTGCAAAAACAATCCCCAGTAGGGGGCATACAGAGGGCAGCCAATGATGTGTCACTCTCTAATCAATGTTTCTCTCTCTCTTTCTCTAAAAAGCAATTAAAATTCTTTTTTTTAAATGGCTATATCACAAATGCACCTGATCTTGTCTACAATTTTACATATAACTTGCACCTTTTGCTCATTGTAAATACTATATCACTATTTTATAGAATAGTTTTAAGCAGCATTTTTCAGAAAGACATTCATTTCAACATGATTCAAATTATTCCAATTAAATAGAAATGTCAGTTTTTTCTGGGCCAACAGCTGGGCACCTGTTTACTTAAGGTTTCATGCATTTCCTGAACTGCTCTATTTCCATACTATACATTGTATTTACTATACATTATATTAGTTTTGGGACCCACAATACAAAATTTAGAGTCTAACAATTACCCAGTATACTAATAATTTTATCTCTCAGAGTCCACACTTTCTGCCCCAGCCCGATGACTCCTACCCAATGGCCTTCAGCTAGCGCACTCCCCAAAGACACACAGCAGGCTCTTGTGTCCCCCAGTCTCCTGCTCCTGGGGCCTGGCTTCCAGTTTCCTAGCCTCTGACTATCCTCACTCTGGCTTTCAGCCACCTCTGTAGCTGCCTCACCTTGGATCTCAGTATCACCTTGATTTAATCCTCTACCCATTTGAATGACTCACTGAGCTGAGATGTCTCATACAGTAAAGTATACCTTTCTTCTTTTATATGTTTTTAAAAAGTACTTTGCTCAGTGTCTTGGACTTTATAAAATTTATTTTTATCCTCACTCAAGGATATCTTTCTATTTATCTTCAGGTAGAGAGAAAGGAAGAGGAAGAGAGAGAGAGAGAAACATCTATGTAAAAGGGACACATCAACTGGTTGCCTCCTGCATGACCCCAACCAGGGCAAGGGATGAACTGCAACCTAGGTATGTGCTCTTGGCCATAATCAAACCCAGGACTCATTGGTGTGCAGGCCGACTCTCTACCACTGAGCCAAACCAGTCAGGGCAGTGTTTTAGAATTTTAAGAACATTTCTAAGTAGAAATTTCCCTCAATTTCTTTTCACATTATATAATGTTACTGTTTTAACCCTAACATTTTATTACTCTAATGCACTAAAACAAGGGGTGTGTGAAAAGGTAGTATCCCTAAAGCTGATCACAAGACATGTCATTTTATGAATGCTGCTCCCATGTGCCAAGCATCAGGAGTTGATATTTCTGCTCTATTCAGCCTGACTTTTCAAACCTTGGAGAACTCAAATAAATGCCACTCAGAGCCTGTCTTCTCACACATGAAACAGATATAATTTCTATATTACCAAAGTCAAAACACTTCAAGTATCAAATGAAATGAAGAGCAATTTATATACTACATATGGAGCACAAAAAATAACAAAGCGTTCACAAATTAATTCAAAAACAAAACGTGAACATTTAGCATTTCATTGGAAAGTATAAAATGTCCACTCATTTTTACTTCATATGTACTCTGGCTGCCCCTTAAAGGGAAAGAAAAGAAATTCACACAATTAGCAAGAATTTCTCTCAGAGTTTTTTTTTGTTTTTAAACAAGCAAAAACATATTTTCCCTGATTCTGTCAGGTAGATTACTGGATGTCCTCTCCTTCCTTTTTTTAATGTAACCTCCTGGAGATAACCACAAAGCAGGATAGAGATATTTTATTCCATTTTATAGCTCCATAGTAGTCTACAAGACCATACCAGTTTATTTTACCAGTCCCTTACTGAAAATGAGTTATTTGCAATATATTTTTTTAAAAGAATGCAAGGGAAACTACATAAATATGTTGCTTCCTATTTGTGGGTTTGTCTTCAGAGTAAATCCTCAGAGTAGGATTCCTGATTAATGCATCTGCACTGTGGGGTGAGTATGCCAACATCCCTTCCTGGGCAGAGCCATTCTGCACTTCCACCAGCAACATATAAAGTACTGTTTCTTCACAGCCCTCCCAAAACACTGAGTGTCAAGTTTATGGATCTTCTCTTAATACCAGAGAATCTACAGTATAGTTTTATTTGCATTTATCTGTGTATGAAGTCAGGTGTAAAGCTCATCTGCATGTGTTTTTCTGTGACTTGTCATTGATATCTATAGCACTACATTTCAAGCAACGTCATTTCTCTAAGTCAGCCTATTGAGGCCCTTATTGTTTTTATGGTTTTTTCCAAGCCACTGTTGACTTTCACTTGAATTACTGTGCCAGCCATCTACCTATCTCTCTTCTTCTTCCATTCTTACACAGTAGCTTCTCTCTCTCTCTCTCTCTCTCTCTCTCTCTCTCTGCTCCTCTCCCTCTCTTTATAGAATTAGCATTATTTCCCTACATATAATCCTCCAGTGGTTTCCCATTACAATTAGACTAAAATTTACATTTGTGTCAAGGCCCCCTTGGCACACAGGTTTAATGCACCATTTCCCTTCAGTCTGCAGCTGCCCCGTGTTTGCTGTGACTGGCCTGCACACTGTATTTACATCTGGGGAACCTGCATGGAAGCCTCTCCTCCCACAAGTTCACAGGGCTCTCTCTCTCATTTCTAGAACTGCTCAGTGTCATTACAGAGAGCAGCTGTCTTTAACCACCCTGACTTCCTTGCTGGTTCATGTGTTGTCTGACCCAGGATCGTCTAGAATGTCAAAGCCTGAGCTAGGCTGGAGGCTCTGCCTTGAATATCACTGTTTGTTCTGCATCTGAAATGGTGCCCCATAAACATCTACCTATCTCAGTGTATCCAAACCAATCAAGTTTCTCCCAATTTTTTTATACCGTGTAAGCTTTTATCTATTGCAATCTTTTTTTTTTTAATCCTCACCCAAGGATATTTTTCTATTTATCTTCAGACAGAATGAGAGAGAGAGAGAGAAAAAACCATCTATGTGAGAGAGACATATCAACTGGTTGCCTCTCACATGACCCCAACCAGGGCCAGGGAGCAAATCACAACTGAGGTGTGTGCCCTTTACAGAAATCAAACCCATGACTCTTTGGTCTGGGGGCTGATGCTCTAACTGCTGAGCCAAACTGGCAAGGGCTCTAATGCAATCTTTTGATTTTTCATCTAAAATCAGTACTTCTTTCAGATCATAGAGTAGTATTCAAAATTAAATGCAAAACCCACAAAATAACCTATAGAAGTTCTAATGTCCAGTGAAAAATCAATGGTGACTTAAATTTCGGATAAAACTATTTAATGTTAAAATTACTCAACCACAAAATGTCATCCTAATTAAGCTATAAAAAAGTATACCATTTGAATTATACAGGTGAGTGCAATGCATCTGTTTTTGTCTGTGTCCCAGAATAAAGCATTATAATGGGCTGTGTACAATTTCATCTGAAAGATGGTCATTGCAACGGCCACCTGAAGGTACAGAACAGCTATTAAAAGGCTGCAGGGGAGCTCCTTGCAGCTTCATGGATGCACATGCTACAGTGCTCTCAGGTGAGCACAGTCCCGGGAGCTTGCTGTCATTACTTCTCTTTACAACACAGAGTTATACAGAGCACATGAAGAGTGGCCTCATTTTTTAAACAAAACAAAATGTTTACTATACTCATACAAAAGGTTTAGAAGGAATAAGCACCAAAATATTAATAAAAGTTTTGGGTATTCTCAGCATAAGTGAATGACTTTTTGATATTTTGTAAATCTTTATATCAAATGCTTATTATATTGTCACACACAAAAAAGAAAGGAGGGTTCAAAATAGCTACTGGAAAGAGTCAAAATCTGTTTCACAGAGGTTTTTTCACATGATGTTGCCAATTCCTTCCCCACTCACTCCTCAGGGCCAGGGGGAGGAAGGGGTCACTTGAGAAAGCACCTTTTGCCAGCAAATTAGCAAAGCTCCTATAGTTGGAACATAAAAGCTGTGTGAATAGTTGATGAGCAATAATAAAATTGGATAATAGGACCTTTGTGCCTTTTTTGTGTTACTGATACCACACTTGGTTATATTAGATATACTGTTAGATAAAAGCAAGGTAGTAAAAAACTTCTTCTAAGTCTATCTGAAATTTATACTAGGCTCTTAAAAATACCTTTTTGAAATGACAATGAAATCATGTTCTGTTTCAGAAGAACAAGGCAGAGCATCATTCAAATATGATTTTGTGTAAGAAGTCAAATAACTCAATTTTCCATTGTAGGAAAGCTGGACTGTTTTATATCTAAGTGGGTATTTCTTAGTTTCCAGGGAAACAAATATAAAATTGCCTGTAGTAAGACATGAAAAGCATACTCTCATTGTCTTTGTACTTTATATTTGGTATGTTGACCTAGTTTCTATGGAAACTTAATAATAGCCAAATGCTGAAATTGAGGTTTCTCATATCATTTTATTGAATGCCCCCAAAATTAAAAACAAACTGAAATAAAATTTTAACTATCATATGAAACATAAAAAGGTAAATTCTATACTTACGAACTCTATTTTTTAACCTTTCTGATTCAACATTACCTATCACGGGCTTATGCTTAATCCCTGTTACTTCATCTGCCCTTGTACCAGCTTCTCCTAAGTTCCTCTGTGTCCAGAGCACTCTGGGCATCAATCAGGTCACAAGAACACACTCTTTAAAATATATCAACTTGTCAACCTGGTAAATTTATGCTATTTCATGACTTGTGCTTTTATTCTTATCCACACTAATGAATTTATAAACATAGGATGCAGTGGTAATGGTGGCTTCTGACTTGTACACAATAATTTCTAATGGAAATAATCAAGACTGGAGTAAGGTAAAATAGGCTCACATCATGGAGAAATGATCAAATACAAGCTGTGTTCTAAAGAGCTTTTCAGCCCCACAGAGATGGAATCCGGCACATCTGTCAGCTCTACATCAGCCCTTCTGCTCAGTAGCCGTGTTCCAGTCAGGTCACACCTCTCAGTCTCTGTTTCCTCAGCAGCAGAGGGAGAACACACAGGGGCTTGTTTGCAGTTAGAAAGCCAGAGGAGATGTACATGGGAGTGAGCTCTAAATCTTAAAGACTTACATAGAGGTCTGACACTACCCTTTACTAACTGGTTTATGAAATCACTCAGACAGAGGCTTACCTTACAGCACCAAGCAGAGCAGTTTTCACCGCTACTCACTTGCTTTGTGTTTAAAGATACAATTAATTCACATCATTTGTTCATTTTTCACAATATTTGAATAATCTGAAAAGGGAGCACTTCTCAGTTACAAAGCCACATTCACCATCTCGGTGAATCCACAGGCTTAATTATTCCAACTTTTCAAGAAATTAAAAGCTCAGCTAAAGTTTAAATAGAATAAGAGCTATAACATATTTTGTCTATGAAATAATTTCCAGCATTTAAGTGAAATAAATAAACCAATGGGGTTTTAACATCTTTGTAAAAGAATGTTTTCTACTTCAAAACACAGACTTCATTAGCTACCTTGTGATCCAGAATTATTTTAAACCAAATGTTTCCTCACTTCCTCCTTCTCCTCTTATCCACTCCCCCTTCCCCCTCAGCCATCTGATCTTCAGAACTTTTACCTCAACATTCTCCCAGTTAAATAGGAATCCCCTGGCAGGAGGGGGAGAGAGAGCCATGAGACAAACATTTTTTTTTTTTTATCCTCACCGGAGGACATTTTTTTGTCTTTTGTTCAGGTAGAGTGGGAGAAAGAAAGGAAGAGAGAGAGAGAGAAACATTGATGTGAAAGGGACACATCAAGTGGTTGTCACCCTCATGACCCAACCAGAGCCAGAAACAAGCTGCAACTGAGGTACATGCCCCCAGCAAGAACTGAACCTGGGTCTTTCTGGACTGCATGCTGATGCTTCAACTGATGAGCCAAATTGGCCAGGGTGGAGACAAACATTCTTGTGCATGATCTGGCACCTTAACTCCCAAGGTTTTATGTTACAAATTAGTCTAAATTGCTGTGCTCTTCTCTTTGGACACTTTTGACCAACAGTCTCGTGAACACCCCGCCCCCTTTACAACAGGCAATATGCAAGTGAGGTCTGTAAGTCACCAATGGAAGACTCAGACATATTTGTGTCAAAGTGGCTACATGAAAGTGATCAGACCTCCCTGGGTTCTCCTTTGTGTAAAAAATAAAAAAACAACCAACAACTATTCTCTATGGCACTGGCTGGCAGTAACATTTCACATTACCAGTACTTGTAAATTTCCTCTCCCACTATTTCCTTCTGTGTTCAAATGACAGTTGAAAGGAATAAACAGCTGTTACCCAGGCAACTGCAAACAGCCTACTTAAGAACACCATATAGATTCTATGTCAGTTTTTAATTTAAATAACAAATTTTAAAATCTTTGCAGCTGAACTGTCTTAAGTACCAACTATGTTTTTATAAATTTTTTTTCTTTATTGATTTTAGAGAAAGAGGAAGTGAGAGGCCAAGAGAGATAAAAATATTGATGAGAGAGAACATCAATTGGCTGCTTCCTGCATGACCCCACTGAAAATTGGGCACACAACCTGAGCATATGTCCTGACCGGGAATCAAACTGGCAACCTCTTGGTGCATGGGTCGACACTCAACCACTGAGCCAGACAGTACCAACTATCTTAACAGGTGGGGACAAGTGTATCACCAGGACCTACCTGCTTCCTTCACTTAAGTACCATATGGATAGGTAACATCTTCATAGAGTCCCACAGATATTAATAGAGCCTTAAGCAGGAGTGTCTCAAACTGGGATATAAAATAAGAATAGAAGAAAAACCTGGACGTTTGGGTAGTAAACAGGAAAAGAAACTGGCCACAGATGATGGGGGAAAGAATAAGGTGTGGGGACTCCAGGAAGAGCCAGCTCTTAAAAAGCTGGCTTTAGGCTAGATGGAGGCTGAGGTGGTAGCTCCCTTCTAGGGAATCCTGGGAGCAGTGGGGGCCAGAGATCTGCTTGAGAGCAGAGAACACCTGGCGCCTCCTTACCTTCCGGCATTTTTAGGTCACTCATGCGCCACACAGGTTGTCCGACATCGAAGTCTAGGTCATCCGACTCTGCAAATTCCAGGAAAGCTATGGCTGGATGTACTGCCACTGGGATCCTGGAGCTTGGGTCATAGACATTAGACTCATCAACGACTTGATTCAACAGCACAGAGTGCCAGCCCGGACTGGGGGTGACATTGGGGCTGGCACTGGGGCTGTCACTGAGCTTACAGCAACATGACAGTATGATGCCCATGAGGGGAATCCACTCCTCACTGCTGTCACTGTCTTCACTCAGCAGTTCTCCCCAACCCCCAACAATGGCAAAGTCCTGTGCAGCTCAGGGGCCACTGGGCTGCCAGGCCCTGGGCAGCCCTGAGGGCCTGGCCACGCCCCTGCTGCTGCCCTGAGCTGCGGTCCAGCTGCTACCGCCTCCACTGAGTTGACAAGTCTGTGAGAATGGTGAGCAGCCTGACTTATTAAAAAGGTAATCAGTCAACCACTGAAAACCTCAACCACTGCAAGAAGAGAGCACAGCAGAAGCTCCTCCTCCCTCCACAGCTGCCTCTCAACTGAAGGCAGTTTTCCTGGTGGGCACCAGCCAATCAGAACACATTCTGTGGTCACCTGGTTACAAGGGACCAATCACACCCTGACTTCCATCCATGCGCCCACCTGACAGAGAAGGCATGTGGTTCAAAATGCTCCCCCTCTCTCCATTGCAGCTGCACGCCCACTCTGTCCTTTCCAAACACACACCATGGACCAGTCTTGGGCTCCATACACAATTTCCTAAACATTGTCCCATGTTGTCAGGAGGGCAAAAAAGCTACTTATGCCATTGGCTATGGCAACTGGGTGCAGAAGTGAACAAGATGTGAGCGTGTGAGAAAAGCAACTGAGGGCTTCTCTTCCCAAACATATGGCTGAGACAAGAGTTGTGGTAGCAGTGAGAAGGATATATACTACTAGGATTTTTTATTTTAAGATATATATATATATATAAAGGGTGAGAGCTAATGGAGGGGGGAAAGTGATGTTAGAGGAGAAGGGGAATGAATGGACAGGCTACAGCAGGCAGATGTGGGTGCACTGCAAAGCAGGGGCAGGTTAGCTCTGGGACCACAGAAGAGCACAGAGGGAGAAGGACTGTGTGGCCATAGACTCATTTCTGGTAGAGGCGAGACTCAGGAAGAGCTCATTTGATAAGCTTTATTATTTTTTATTTTATGTATCTTTTTTTTTAGTTTTTTTTTTTTTTCCAGTTGAATTTAGAGAGAGAAGAAGGGATAGGGAGAGAGAGAGAGAGAAACGTGGATCAGAGAGAAACATCAACTGATTCCCCCGGCACACTCCTGTAAGGGATTGGGCCCAAAATCCCACACATGTGCTCTGACCAGGAGTCAAACGGGTAATCTCTTGGGTCAATGCTCAACCATGAGCCATACCAGTAAAACAATGCTTTATTTTAAGAGGCTCCTATTTGGAAAGCTACTCTAGGAAAGAGAGGATAATGTATAGAAAAGTATACACTTTAGAAAAGCTCAAAATAACTTAAAAAAAAAACACCAAATAATATATTTACTCAAAGGTGGGTATATTGAAAAGAATGTTGAGCAAAAACCAAGAAGCTCTACAATAAACAAGTATGTCACCAAAGTAAAAAAAGAGGCTTATTATTTCTCACAAGTAGTAAAAAAATATAGCAACAACTTTTGAAGAGGAATAAGAAAAAAAATTAAGAGAAAATGACAAGCAATTGCAAAAAGTGTAAACATTTACAAACCCTTTAATCACATAAGGAGTCCCCCCAAAATAAATAAAGGACCAGAGGGAGTGTTCCTTTTTATCAAAAGGATAGGAGGGAAAGGTCACATCAAAAATGAGGAAAGCAGCCCTGGTGGGTTTGGCTCAATGGTTAGAATATCAGTCCCCTGACCGAAGAGTCCCAGGTTCAGTTCCTGCTAAGGGCACGTACCTCAGTTGCAGTTTGTCCCGGGCCCCAGTTGGTGTTGTGTGGGTGGCAACCACTCGATGTGTCTCTCTCACATTGATGTTTCTCTTCTCTCTCTTGCCCCCTCTTTCCTTCTCGCTCTATCTGAAGATAAATGTAAAAATGTCCTTGGGTGAGAATAAAAAAAAAAAATGAGGAAAGCAGGGCCCTGGCCAGTTTGGTTCAGTGATTAGGGCATCGGCCTACAGACCAAAGAGTCACAGATTCTATTCAGGTCAAGGGTATGTACATTGGTTAAGGTTCAGTACCCTACCCTGATCGGGTCATGTGGGAAGCAACCAATGTATCTCTGTCACATTAAATGTCACATTAAAGTCTCTCTCTCTCTCTCTCTCTCTCTCTCTCCCCCTCCCTCCCTTCCTCCCTCCCTCCCTATCACTCTATCTGAAGATAAATGGGGGGAAAAGTATCTCGGGTGAGGATTTTCTTTTAAAATCAGGAAAAGAGATAACTAATATTTAATTTAATAGTTTAAAAGATACAAGTAAGGTTTGGTGCCATGAATGAGCAATATATTGAAATGTGGGAGACCACAGTGGAATGGGAAAGGATTTCATGAAATTCTGTTTCAGTAAACAGGATCGCATTGAATCCTTAGGTGCAAGTGACTGCATTCCATGGTAATACATTACTGTCTGAAGTCCTAGAAATGCCACTAGATACATTTTGGTAGACCTGAGACAACGCCTAAGATTATGTTACAAAATACTGCCTGCATTTAACAACAGATACCCACACACACACACAAAAAAAAAATGCATAAACTTTCCTTTCCTTTCCATCTTTTCTTGTTAATCCTCAACTGGAGATATTTTCCCACTGAGTTTTAAGGAGACTAGGGGTGAGCTTCAGAGGTAAGACAGAGACAGAGAGAAAAAAAACATTGATGTCAGAGAGACACATCAGTTGCTTCCATAACAAT